CCAAGAATCCCCATGATGGAACTGTGCTGTGTAAAGAAAAGTTTCTTTTCTGCTTGCTTTAAATCTGATTTCACTGAATGTCAATGAATTTTGATTTTACAAAACCAGCAATTACTCACCCCCTATTCATCTTTCACACTTTTACAGACACAGTATTCCTCACCTTGAGATGTTTTCAGCCTGGAAAGCGAGTTACCTAATCTCTTGTAAAGAAACCACTTTGTATTTCTATTTATTCTTTTTTATTTTATTTTTTCTTTCTCCTGTTTCTGTCTCTGTGTTGTACATTTTCTGAGATGCACTGGAAGTATCATAATACTCAAAACAAGGGCATGCCATAGAATTACTCTGTAGTCTAAGTCTATTTTTTCCCCACTTTTTTTCTTGGGAATTGTTAATGTTCTACTTGCATTTTGGCTGTCATAGMGCGCTGATCCTATGCGTTGCAACTATGCAAAATGGCTCCCAGGCCCCTGTAGTGAAAAAGTTAGAGTAATTTAAAACCAACTGTGTGATGCAGTTAGTATTTTTCTGTATGACTTTGAAGTTTATTAGTCAGCCTCTCTTATGAAGGTTTTTTCCTACCTCTGTAATTTTGTCAAGAAACATTTGTGTTTTCCTTCATCAGATTATCTGTTAAKATGTTGACCAGATGCCCCCTAACATGTCCCCAAAAGCTCTCTCAGGCCTTCTAGATTTTAAACTGGCCTTGGGAAGAGTCTCATTTATTTCCTGGAGAACTTTTATTTTTTGAAGGACTTATTAGAAAGAAAAAAACAACAACAACAACAACAACAACAACAACAACAAAAACCAAAAAAAACCCCAAAAAAACAAAAAAGCCAAACCAAACAAAAAACCCTCCAAACCCATACAAAGCAAAAAACCCTGAACCACAACAAACAAAAAACCTTCCAAACCCATACAAAGTACAATGGCTTAGTATTTCCAGGATAGGGACCTACTGCAATACTGATGTCAGAAGCTGGATCCCTTTTTTTCTCTCTCAAATGGAATTTTTGTGTGTAATGCCAAAACCAAATTGGGTAAGTGGGACAAATTACCAACAGCTCTTTCACTGGTAGAAATGGTCATGAGGAAGAGGCTGCTGTTCCCAAGTTAACATTGCTGTCACTTCAAATTTCCCACTTGGCCTTATCATACTTCTGTTGTAAATTCTGTCCCAGTACCTGCTCTCTTCTGGAGTGCCCCAGTTCACTCCAGAGCTCTCCCCTCCTACTACTTGTTGCATATTATGCCCTATTCTCTCATTCTTCTCTAAAAATACAATAAGCCCTTATCTTTTTTTTTTTAATAGGGATTTGTAAAAAACTTGGATAATGAGCTTCCATGTCCCTTTCATTCCCAGTTTTAAGGGAGAATTATAGCCCAGCTGGCTTGCCTAGAGTCTGCTACTAAAGATTTAAACAAGAATGTGCTATTTTCAACCTGCAACTACCTTCTCTTCTAAAACATATTGGTTTTTAAAATTTGGAATGAACTGTATTTGTAATACAATTGCAAACACCTAATACAAAAGTCCCCGTAAGAAGTCTATTGCAGTTGTTTGGGGTTAATGTCACTATAGCTTTCCTCTTGCACCCTTCTTCTAGTCATAATTTAATAAAGTGCATGGAGGCTTACATACAGCTACTCACTCTGTATGTATCACAGCTGAAGGAGGTATTTTGTTTCCTGATTTTAACAAGTATGTGGACTTCAACAAAGCTGTGATATGCCTAAGCACACAGTTGAACTCCCCTGTCTCTAGGTGAAGAAAACAAGTCCAACTTTTCAGATAAAAATGATTCACAGGAAGCTGTGTAAGTTCATTGGATTCTTTTTAGCCTTTTTGTAACATCTTCCTGCCAAAAGGGAGTGTACAGCCTATTATGAATGTAAGAAAACACCAAGAAAAGTTTTGTTTACCTTTGCAAGGTCAACTACTTTTTCCGCCTGGAGATCTCCTCCCCTCTTATTAAAGAAGCAAGTGATTACCTCAAATCTTTCCCTATTTTTTTAAACAGGTAATCCTTAAATTCAATGTATTCGGCTTCTGCTTGGATTAAAAATAAATTCATTAATTTGCTTGTATGGAATGCACAGTAGTAAAGGTCAACAAAGATTAGCTCATTAAATTGCACTACTAACCTATTAGTACAAAACACTGCTTTTAAAGACCTTTGAAGGAACAATTTGCCCATTAGATCTGCTCATTTTTCCTTTGAAATGCATACATTTAGTGCTAATACATCTTAGATTCAAAAACTGTCTTTTTTTCATACCTTTTTTTCATACTTTTTTTCATACCTGTAACTCCTGAAGTTAGATCCACACAATCAGCTAATCAGCCTTTTGCAAAGTATGGAAACAAAGTTAGAAAAAAAGGAGACAAGAAATTTTATACATATTTCTTACAAAAGAGTAATTGAAACTAAAAAATAACTAAAATTACATTTAAAGTTTGGTAGCTAAGCTGTAACCCCAAGAGATAACAATAACCACAAGAATAACTTCTAAGAATCTGACATGAAAGGTCCTGTGTCACATGYATTAGTCCCCTTGGCATCACCTGGATGTAAGGGCTTCCCTCAGATAACCCAGGCATGACTAACCTTCATCTTCTTGCTGTTATCTTGACAGCAGATAACAGATGAAGGGGAAGTAGCTAAGACATGTCACCATACAAGTTTTGATGGCTATCACAGTACACCCTTGACAATTACATTATTTTCCCAAAGGAGGTCGACTTCTCTGTTGTTGTGTAACCCCTTCTGCCTGGAGCCCCTGTGAAGGCTCTCCAAGGCTCACCTGCCTGTACAAAGCATCAGCTATGACACAGAACTGTTATGTATCCCTGACTCCTACTGAAAGAGCTCTGGAAAAACACTGCAGAAAGGTAACAAGTGTAAAATTGAAGCCCCTGTTGAGACAGAGGTTCTTAGTAGCTCAGGAATTCAAGAGGCTAAACACTAAGTAGAAAAGTATAAAATTTTATAGGGAAAAAAGAAAACAGGGAGTCTAGCTAGTGTGACCCTTCTCCTTCTGCCTGGTGGTACTCGGCCAGGAAAGACTAGCCAAGTGCTTCATCAGGGAGCTGRGTATTCAGTCTAATCACTTTGTTAAATCCAGAATGTCCTTTGTSTTTAGTAACCGATTCATACTTACAATTCCGTACTCTGTGTTTTACTTGCAGAATCTCCTTGTCCAGGTAAAGATGCCCAAAGAAGCTTGTTCAAAACAGGGGCACTAACCATAGGCATAGTATAAAAGCAAACAGAAAAAACTCACAGAAAACAGTCTTCATTGACTGTCAGTGACACCTAGACTTTTCAGTTGCTGTGCATTTATTTCCATGTGAGCACTATCCCTGTGTTTAGGGAAACTGTCTGCTTTTGATTTCCTGAGATGTTTCATGGAAGATTGTAYGTCCTGCTGTTTGTAGGGAACATGAGCCTTGTAGGTTTGGGGTTTTTTTCAACATCTCATAGCCYCAGATTTTGTGCAGACCATAAATTGTTCCAAATTATTGTGTGTTCTTGCTCATGGATGTGGTACACACTTCTGCTATCTCTGGAAAAGTGGACCTTTGTGTAAAAGTGGCCTGTTGGAAACTGGTTCAGCACAGTAACTGCAGTGTGATAATATTGAACTTAGTACTCTTAAAGTAATCCATAACCAAGGGGTCAGCTCAGAGACTGAATAGCTGAATCACTGTGCAAACCATTTAAACATCCTCACACTCTTTCTGTTAGACACAGATGACAAACATTCCAACATATACCACTTTGCCTGCTATATAAAGATNCCAAAGCAGCTGTCCAATCCAGCTCCATCATATCAGTCGTTCATGCGCACACCAACTCCGCGCCCAACCCCCACACAGCCGCAAGGACCACGGCAAAAGATGGCTAGCATCTAAATACAATAGACAAATGTCATTTTTCAGCACTGAGAGCTAAACTGCACTGAAYAGAAGAAAATAAACCAACATGTGCTGAGAAGAGAGGAGTGTATTTAAAAAAGTGAATTACAAGAAACAGGTATTTAGTACAAACAGAACTCTGTAAAAATATGCAGCTATTTCAAATAAGTCAATTTATACCAAATCCAAGAGATAGAATCACAAAATTATTATTTCTAGTCTACAAGAAAGTGCCTTGAAAGAAGCTGGTCCATAAGGTTTTTATCATGTTCACCAYATCTGTAAATAGAACAAAAGGACATGTTATTCATGTGAGTGGCACCTTGCTTTCMATGTGAAACATGGAGCTTCTTCGTGATTTCTCTGAGAACACTCCAGAGTTCCTGAGGATAACAGATACTACCTTTGGACTCATAAACACAAATGGATTTATCTGGGTTGTCTTCCTAGGCACTGCCAGAGCTTGCACCATATGCTTAGCAYGGATAGTGCAAGTGCTCAGCAGGGTTTCAGCATTCTTAGAGCACAGAATGCTAAATTAAGAATTTTTATTAAAACATAAAAGAGGTTTAACAATTTAGAAAACAACATTTTTGCAGTACTTATTTTCCTAAGTTTCTAAAATCTGTCCATCAAAATTTCTGGCAAATTCAAAATACCACAATGGCTTTTTAGTTACAGCAATTAAAACTTGAAAGAAATACACTTATATTTGTTTTCAAATTAAGTTTCTGAATAAGCTTTCAAGCCCTTTTAAAAACCAAACAAGAAGACCTAASCTGCTGTTAAAATGTGCAGCAATCGAGGTCTTTGATGAACAYGTGAGCTGGAACAGRGAACAGGYTGCACAGCAGAAATTCCAGGACCCATTACAGGAAGAAAACAAAGAGAGGGGCATGTGGCATCATGCATCCTTCCTCTCAAAAAGTTGCAGAACTCCTTTGTATTTGAGACAATATGGAATTTATTTAAAAGCTAATTTGTACTTGCACACCAGAAAAAATATTGTCAGCTCACAGAATAAGGCTGAAAAACAAAATCTGTTTGAATTTAAGGTTCAGCAAGCTGCAGCAGAGGTAAATCCCACCATAAATATTTGATTTCTCTACACATGTAATTGCTAATATGTGACCATCCTCAATTAAATATAAAACATGCTTTGGGGTCCTTATTTGACGTAAGTGAGCCTACATAAGTTCTTATTTAARAGAAAAATTTTCAAAAGCATTTTATCAGCTCAGTGGTGCAAGAGCTTAAGCTCATCACTGCTAACGAATTTAGGGTGTCATTCATTGATGTAAGTCTGGCTCATGCCCTCCTTGATGCTGGTACTAGCAAGAAACCCTTCAGAAAGTTTTGAGGTTTTTTTACCCCTTTTCTCATGCCAAAACAGAGCAGAGAGCTGATCTGGAGGGCAAAAAATGAAAATGCTGAACCAGTGGCAGAGTTGATTGAAATCAGGACTTTATTCTAATGGCTCTTTCAGGACAATCCTCACTGCCACAACGTAGTTTTGCATAGTAAGAGTCCATCAGAATCTCTCTTCTGGGCAAGTAACCAGGTTCTGATAGGATATTCCTCCGTATAGACTGTCTGTAGGCACACATTTTAGAGTAAGAAAGGGACCATTATCAATATCCTTGTCTAAATTCCTACACAATATATGCCAGACTCAATCCAACAATTTCTGCATCAGACTTCTGTTCTTAGCTACATAAACTCACATGGCAGGATTTCAAACAGGCCCTCTRCTCTCCTCTCTTGCATGCAGCTGAGCTATTTGCAAACATTTTTCACACATTCTCCTGCCTGTGAGAAACACAGGCCAGCTTACCGCAAGCACAAAGTGTAAAAACATTCTTTAAAAACCCAGTTGCTAGCCTGTTTTTCATAGAGTGCATGCGCTTTCAAACACTGCCCTACCTTCCACCCTGTAAACCCTCCTTTTTCACAAAGGAAACTTCCCCCTTTCTGTGGTGAAAACCACGTGAGCCATGTCCCCTGCCCCACCACATCAGGCTGCTCTASCACCATTCTTATGCTACCCCACTAAGGCTCTAGCCAAACTGTAGTACTGAATGCAAAAAACCCACACCCAGCTGTGTCTGCTTTTAGTTCTCAGTATTTCAATGTTGACATAATCCATAATTATTTGATCCTTCTGTAAAACAAAAGGAGTTGCATTTGTTTTAATACAAGCAGTCCATCCAAATTAGTTCCACTTAGGTCAATCAGCAATACTCTGTTATAGCTAAAAAAAATCCTCAGTGGTGAGGAATTTAAAATTAGCATGAAAGGTATGTAATGCAAAAATTAAGAAACAAAATTAGTCAGAAATGACAGAACATTTTCTTAAGTAATGCTGGGATTAAAATCTATGATATTCACTATATTGTTCAAAAGAAGAATACCATTCAACATGGAAAATAAGATGAGAATTTAAAAAAAAAAATTACAAGGTTGCCTACCTGTGACTAAGATGCTGAAGGAATTGAACCTTCTTTCTCATTTGATCCCAATTTTGCTTTACATTCTTTGCAAGCATGATGACACTGTCTACAACATTGAAAGCAAATACAACATTGAAGAATTTTGCTGGATTTCTGCTAATACAACCATATAGCATGATGGCAAAAGTTCTTGAAGAAGTAATCTCTTGCCTATTTACAGGCAAAAAAATCCCAATTTTTTAACTGCTTTATGGAGCATAAACTGCAAAATATGACATCTAAATGTCTCAGCCAGTAAACCCCTATTAATTAGTATTGAGTACTCCTTCTCGCAATTACCAAAACATAGCAGGATTTTCTAAGCAGCAAAGACAGTCTATGCCATTGTACCTATGAGCTAGGTGTATAGCATTTTGGGTTTTCTTTTGTTACATGGCAGAAGAATACAAGTAGAGAAACAGAAGAACAGTGAACAAGTTTTCAGGCATTATTATAGGCATAAAAGCTCATGTTGGTCTGGGGGAAAGATGTGAAAAGACAWAGGAGAATGATTTTTGGATAGGATTTTTGGCTATGTGTTTTGTGAGTGAAAGGTTTATACCAGAAGCCATATTGAGAATGAAGGSTATAATGGGCAGTTGAAGGAGGAGCTGAGAAGGAACTCAGTCTGACTTGATGTGAAGGAGTGCTTCATGTGAGTTGAGAAAACAATAACTAAAACATGGAGGTGCAAGGTGACAGAAGCCAACCATTGCCATCTATCCTATGGTTAGAAATGCAAGGTGAAGAAAATACCCTCTCTGTTCATGCTCTTCATGGTTTGGGACAACAATATGAGGTTGGGCAAAGCAACAGAGAAGAGGGAGGTTGCAATATAGGTTGAGATTGAAAGTGTCGTTAAAATATGAGGACATTATAAAAAAATCTGTAGCATATTCAGCCTGATCTATGTTCCAAAGGAAGACTCAAAAGGCTGAAGTGATAACATGGACAATCTTAGCAGCATGATACTAGATGAAAAGAGAACTAGTAACTGTTGTCACATCACACCTAAAAGTACAATAATTTTAGTTAAATCATGAATGTCCTAGTCACAGGTATTACACTGAGTTTAATTTGCATTTTCTGAAGAATGTGTAGTAATTTCTAATATTGCAATATATAACCAAAGACTATGAGTATTATMTCAGAATCTGATGACAGAATTTAAATTCATAGTTTTGCTGCATATAATTTTTACTGTGTTTTAAACTATTTTGATCTAGGCTTAATAATTTAATAAGCACAGACCTTTTTTGTTGTGGACCACATGGTGCAATACCAATTTTCTGAAACTTTTTTTGGCATTCTCCCATGTATGACAATTTTCCAATGGCAAAACCTAAGACWCCAGCAACTACAGAGACAGACAACAAGACATTATTAATACAAGTCCTTAAATCATGAGTATGCTATTGGCTTCATTTTAATCATATAAGGAATTGTGTATCACATTTTCTCAGAACATGTCACAAACACATGTGAAGTTATACAGGGATTACAGGAGTGACTTCAATAACTACTGAAAATTGGTTACTTATCATGACAGAGAGCAACTGGTCCAAAACAATGCATAGAGAAAAAGAATATAATATTCCTGCATACAGGGAAAGGGTATAATATTTAGAGAAACAGATTCTAGAAMATAAAATTAATTCACAATGTCAGCACTTATTGTTCTTGCCCTTTCCTTTTAAAATTGGGAACAACTTACTTGCCATCTTGGGGTATGGACCAAATCTTGGGCTTGCAGAGAAAACACCTACAATAAAAGGAAATGGTCAGAAAGCTTATTCATCATTATGAACTCACAAACATTCAAAACCAGGGCATTAGTTTTCCTACAAGCTTTTGCATTTCTTGAGGTGAGGATGRTATGAAGTCCACTAACTGAGATTTCAGTACATCAGGGTACTTTCCATTCCACTAGTTCTTAGTGCATGTGTTTCATGGCAGTCCTAGAGTCACAGGAAGAAGAGAATCTGCACTTTGAATCCTGCCAGTTCAGKCAGGAGTCCAGAATGTAACCCAACATGAAAGCAGCATGTCTGCCACTGGTGACACTTGCAGCACTGCAAAAGAAATGGTTTTTAGCATGTTTCAGCACAAACAAACCCAGTGTACAGAACAGCAAAATTAAATCTCTTACAAAGGGTCCAACTTCTTGTGCTGTGAGAAGTAGGATGAAACTGCTCTTTGGTAGCTTTCAGTGGCTATTGATTAGAACTRTACCACTGATATCTAGCCTCCTTCTCTGGAGAGAAAAGATCAAACATTCTGGCCTTTAAGAGAAGAACATAGTGTGCTAAAAAAGAAAAGCAAAAAATTAGATTTAGCTTTCACACCAAAATTCACCTTCCTCCAGTTAACCTCAGRAGGAGGAACCAGTATTCCTCTGAGAACTATGTCTGGCAGAGGAGTGCCATGCTGGAGAAGAGAGCTCCACATAGCACAATTACAGTGGCAAAGGGAAGGGAAGCGAACACTGGTTGCACTGTTACATGCATTCAGACAGTAATAATGATGCTTAGAAGCTCCAGCTTCTTCTAGAGGCAGGGTACTGTGTGCAGCATCAGAAGAAAGTGTTTAGACAGAGGAGCATTCAGCCTATGCTAAGCACAAGGCCTKGGCCCGCTGGGATTTACGCAATTTTAAATTGGGTCCCTCAGGGGAGGGAGGAACAAAAGTGTTGTTTGTTTCTAATCACTCCCCTTCAATTGTTGACACACAGTAATGATTATTTAATAAGGGCATTTGTTATTTCACAGCTGATCAGAAACATTCAAGTATAATGAGCAGAAACTGAGAAGTGTACCTGGTGCCAGAGGCTGGCATGTTAGCTACAGAGACAGCCCCAGTGTTCTTCCTAAAGGGAAGGGAGCTATCAGCAGCTGCYTTCACTTTTTTGAATGTGTAATCCTTCTTCTCTGACACATCTCCCTTACTCCTTCCCTCCCTGTCTGCCTACAAGCTCATAGGGCAGGGAACCCACATCAGCCTCTTGTGGTACAGCTCAGCAGACTTCAGGGTGGATTCCCCCCTCTTTACCCAAAACACTAACCTCAACTTTGTACACAGTCAAGAACCCCAGCAGAGAAACTGAAAGTGCCATGTGTGGAACCAGGCTCATCCACCACATAAACAGAATACAATTTTCTTTTGTGTTAGCCTGCAGAACGTGAGCCATCACTATAGAAAGCTCTCTGTCTCCTCACTTTGGCAGTACTCCTTGTTCCTTTGCACCAAAGCCGCAGTCATACTGATACATGGTCACTGTAAAACCCTTGCCAGCATTTTTCAAATAAACCAAAAGTCAGAGCTACAGAACTCAATTCTAATGCCCCTGCTCAGGCTGTACAATGCTCCACCCTAGAAGCTGCCCCAGTGAAGACTACTCAAATACACATGATCATGGTGACAGAATCCAGCCACCAGTCTTTGGATTCGTGAATTCTCTTTTCAGTTCATGCTCTTTCAAAAGAAGGAATGTGGCAACACATACATAATGATCAAATCACCATAACAATGATGGTAATTAGTGAGAGGAATATTGATCTTGAAAATGAGCACTTTAATAATGTATTTTTTTATCTTTACCTTTTGAGATTAGCCCCTGGGTGACAAGCATGCTCCCAAGAGACAAAGGAAGAGCTGTGAAAATGAAAAGGCAAGTAGTTGGTATCAGCCAAAATTTGTTACTTACTTGGTAAATACTCTATTACACATGAAATGTTTTATATGTTTCTAATGTTAAACACATTACTGCTAAACACTAACTTTGCCTACTGTCTTAATTACCTATTACATCTACTCATTCAGATTACATTCTGTTCACAGCAAGGATGTCCTCACATAGYCCCAGATATCAGCCACACTATAACATCTGGGGGTAATGCAATATATATATATATTTATTAAATAATAGTTTCCACWATATCTCCTCTAACTACTGCAACACTTGTAATGACAGCAGCTCTGATGAAATGCTGAAACCCTTTTGAATCTTCTCTATTCAGGAGATATGTAATTTAGATACAAACTGATTAGGTGGACTTAAAAGGCATTAAAACACTGACCTCTAATTTTTATATGTCCTAACACAGGAAGAATTTCACAAATCAAAGACATAACCATGCCTGCCTCCCATTCAAAGGCAAGAATAAATATGTAACAAAGTAAAACATTCCTAAGGTGGTTGTAACAATGGAGTTCAAGAATAGAGTGAACTCTGCAATTGCTAAAGTTCATATTAAACAAGACCTCACTTCAACCACTTTTACCTATAACAATTACGCAAACAATTAAACTTTTAAGAACACTCAGCTTAATTTAACATGGCAGAGTTAACTAACAGCAATTTTTGAACAAAAAGGCATTTTGCAGACAGTTTTGCATCCATACATCAAGAAGTCATTCTGTGTAGTAAGTGTGGTAAGAATGACTTTGGATCACTTACCTCTGTGCCAGAAACTTTCCTGTTTGCATTCTTTACGGATCCTTGCAATCTCTCTATCTTCAATTTGGGAGATGGGGCAAAAGAACATTGGCTGAAAGCAGAAATGTGGATTAGCTTGCTGAATGTAATCTCACAGGAAGAAAAAAAAAATTAAAGAAGATAAATTATTTTAAAAACAAATAAAATACAAAATACCCCCAAGCAAAATTCCTTATTCTGTTGTTAGCAGTGTGATGAAATCTTGATACCCCAATACAGAAACAGAAAGAACTACATAGGTTTTAAGCTTAAGCCAGGTTTTTACTTTCCTAAAATTGCTCAGCTGCTGCTTACCCAGAAGCATATTGCTTTATATCTGTTAGTCATTGCATTCTCATGAGCTACATTATATCTCCCAGAAAGAAAATGACAGGAAATAAAGATAGAGTGGTGGTTTTCAAAAATTAAGTTCTGCTCTGTACAGAAATCAACTGAAGTTCAGAAATAGCAGATTTTGCAAGTATTCAGAAGGTTAACGTAAACTCTGCCAGACTCCCCACTAGCAGAACTTTCTCTCTGAGCAGTTTAAATATATCCATGGCATTAACTGAACTCAACCACACTGGCTTCACCTCAATACAAATTAGGCCACCAACAGACTTCTCTGAGTTTAAGGTAGCTCTTTTTTCACCCATGGTGATTGTGAGGAAAAAGTAACCATATTCTCTCTTGCATTCTACTATCCAAGGTGTTGTCATGTAGACATAAGAAGATTGCTTTTCCTTCTTTAAGAAAAGACTTGGTGTTAGCAATTTAGTGTTATTATCAGACACATGAAATTAATGGGTGTACCGTTTTGACTGGAACAAGAGTTTACTTTCTCCATAGTAACTGGCATGGTGCTAGGTTTTGGATTTGTGACTAAACCAGTGTTCACAATACAGGGATGTTTTAGTTACTGCTGAGTAGAGCTTACATAGAGGCAAAGCCTTTTGTGTTTCACAGTCTGCCCCACCAGCACCTCAGCTGGAAGTGCACAAGACACAGCTTGGGCAGCTGACCCCAGCTGATCCAAGAGATATTCTAATTCCATACCATGATATTGTGCTCAGCAAGAAAAGACAAGGGAGAGAAAGAGTTATTAAGTTAAAATTAGTTGAAATTTTAATATTTTTCTGGAAAAACACAACATCTTCAAACATGTCTTCTTGAAAGAAAAAAAACAGACATCACAGAACAAGCAATGTCTTGGGAAAAAGAGCACATTCATCTGTTCCAGGATTCTGCCTCACTTTATGCCTGACTGATCTATGATTTTACAGCAGCAATGATAATGAAATTTACTTATTGGTCACACCCATACATTTCACATTTTAGGTAATTAATATCTCAGCCTTTCTTCAARCACTGGTCCCAAGAATGGTGGTGCTGCTTGGGTAAACAACACAGAACTGACTCCACTCCAGACCATAGAGAATTACTTCAAACTGGTTTCAGAGCAAGGTCTTAGCAAATACAGTAAAATTCAAACAGGCTGACTGGAAGATAAGGAAATGACTGTCAGAGCCCTAACTGCACCAACAGGCTTTGCAGCCTTTCTGCCTCCAAACACACCCTGCCAGGGGTTTAGTTGCTGGGGTTCAAAGTTGACATGGCACAGTTGTGTAACACTGAATTAGACTTGTGAAAACAGCAACACTTGCAGAATGCTGCAAGAAGCTTTGCTCAGGGCCCCTGCCCTTCAGCTCAGGAGCTGTATATAAACTCAGGCCCTTGCCTTAACTGTGCTGTAGGCATACCATGGGGATCATTACCTTGCCTTGCTACCTTCATCRCCTGGCTTATCATCAGACTTGCCTTATTCCCATGGACTTGCCTGGCAATCACTGAATTGGCTGTAGGCTGACCCTGGTTAACATCATTGGATCTACACTCCTCATTTTGGGTGCTGTGGGACTATGCTCCCTGTCCCTGAAGCCCAAGGCCCTGTCACCCTGCTGTCACTTGTGCCCCTTCCTTGCAGCTCAGCCCAATATTGCTGCCCGCTGGCAGTGACTGGTTCGCAAGAAATCATACCATATTTAAATTCCTCAATTCCTCCATCAGAGGAGAATATTCATCTTCTGTACAGCTGGAGACCAGATTCTTGTCCGTACTGTTCCCTCCTGCCCTTCTGAATACAAAGACATGTGCATGCAGAACTTTATGGGGACAGGTTGTACTGGACTTGTACTCAGACATCACGGGTCTGCCAGCTTGTAACTTGGGCATAAATCAGAGCCTTAACCTTAAGATTCACAACTCCTAGCCTTCTGAACATAGTGAGCCAGAAAAAAATAACACACTGTCCTTTCCTCTCTCCATCTATATGCTTAAACTAACAGACACCTATTTCTCTCTTCAATAAAAGCAATTGAGGCAAAATCCCAGTTATTCATTAGCAAAAGCATCAAAACGAAAGGGAGGAAATCCAGCTTACCCATCCAGGTTGCTTTATTGGAGGTGTKTGACTTTCCTGTTGGACTGTTTCAGAAGACATTGTCTCTTTCCTTGTACTCTGCTACTGCTCTTGTTCAGCAGAAGCTCTGTGTTTTATACTTGGCTACTTCTCTTTCTGCTAGGTACAAAGATAAAAAGTCAAAATATCATACTGATACTGTAAGTCCAAAGTTCATCTAGAAATAAAAATAACCAGGTTGAAAGGAGCGTATTTTTTACAGCAGATAGAGTCCAGTCACGCAAGATACAGTTAACAGCACAATGTATCACTTACCAGCAACACAGAGTTGTGTTTAACTTAAACAGGTAAGTCACTAACCACAATTAAATGCTGGACCCTGACCTAGTGCAGCATGCTCAACCATAAATAATTGAAAATAAATATGAGCAAGTCATGGACCTTTTTTTTTTTTTTTTTTTTTTTTT